CTAATAAATAATATCCTTTCTAAGATAAATAGTAATTATTCTTTGTTTTTAAGCACCAGCTGCTGCAGAAGGAAGATCATTGTGCAACCACAGACGAGCTTATAAATTTTTCACGGATTCCGTTGCACCAAGATGCCTGTTTCCTGCTTTTCCATGTAGCTCATACGAAGACTTTTTGCAGGTAACTATTACGATTCAAATATTTCTGTTTTTTATGATGTTTGAATATCTGAGAACACGCTATTTTTAATTTAATTTAAAAAGCGGAATGCTGCTTTTAAATTCTTTCGATATAAGTAAATTTACCTAATTTTAGCTATGTACGAAGACTCAGAGTCAATTCAATAATTTTGTAGACCTTTTTGGAGACGAGACGTGTCATTTCATAAAAAAATCAGCTATTTAGTTTTTGGCATTCTAACACAACCTAATACATACTCTTGATGATAAAATTATGAGTGACAAGTCAAAATACGAAATATCGCATCGCATTAGTTTTATGAGCTACTTTTTAGAATGGATAGTTTGAACAAATATTTTTATAATTTTACATTCATGTGCTGACTTTACAAACATTTACTTGAATGAAATATTTATAAATATTGCATTTTTCCATATTACGTATATTTGATGATAAATGCACTAATTTGTACCATACAAACATATAGTGCATATTAGTGTACAATAACGAAAATATTTTAATATATCGTGCTAGATAAAGCGTGTGTGCTCATTTCATATTTTCTGAATTTTATTGCTTTTCAGTTTGTTTGCCCGAAAAAATAAAAACGGCTGATATCTTTGAGTCACAAGAAGTGTCAAATCTGTCAAAAAATATATCATTATGTTAATAGTAGATTGGACGATGGGAGATCGGCATCTATTCTAGAAAACATTGTTTTCTACTTTCACAAACGCATGATAATTTTGCGCTTAACAAGCAAATGTCATAAACTTGATCATAAATATAGTAATAATACATTTTCAAATATAATTTTATTTTGTCACAGGGTCGATGCTTCCCATGTGATAATAGTCCCGAATCTGACAACGCAAGGTGTGGAAATATGGGATACTACGCCGACAAATCCACTGGACGTGGACAACTATATTTGCTGACACGAGAGGAGGAACCTTTCTGCGGTATAAAATTAATATAATCATATCATAATTTATATGATAATTTATACTGGAGTACTTATATAAAAAATTATTTATTAATAAATTGTTGAACAATTTTACAGCTCATCAATATCACGTTCGAGTCGATAGTGATGGTGGTCATTTGCCTTTAAGATCTCTGGGAAGGCTGCAAATTACGCTAGCAGGAGAAGGCGGGCTTAATGAAACATTTTTATTGACTGAGTAAATATAATATTATTATATCTCTATTGTCTACAAAGTTTATAAGTTTTAATGTCAAATATTTTACCTTAATCTAGCCGAGATAAAAAATATTACTTTCATAACATCTTTGAATTTCCTACGTGAATAAAAGAATAAAAACTTTGCCCGAGAGTCGTAAACTCGTAACTCGGTTTATCAACTAGAACCATTTATCCTGAATTTCATAAAGTTTATACCTCATAGAGTACTTGTCGCTATACAATATATATAGTAGAACTATTTTATATATTCTAAAGTATACATTAAAAATAAATATAATGGGCAGTAACAATGCATAGATATTGTATAAACAAATCAGGTATAAAATGAAACTTTTCATATAAACTTGCTGCTATTAATATCTTTTACCTTAACCCCTTAACTTACAATTTAGATACGAAAATGTCGGCCCAAAGTTGTTCAACGTGGCGCGGCGTTGTGACAATTTTCCCTCATGGTTTACGGTTTATAACAAAAATAAAAACAATTTTGAGTTTTATAGTTTCGTATGAATAAATATTTTACAATACTTACGTTCACCATACCGGGCCATGCCCGAAATGCGTAATATTTGCTTCTGGCCCGAATATCGTACGCGGGCTATGCCCGTAATATTCACTTTTTGCCTAGCAATGGCACTAGCAATTTGCCTAGCATTTGAAAACATATAATTGTGGTAAAAAAAACATTGAAAAAAGATGATACACAATATGCAAACTAAACGCTTATATATTTTTAATATTTCATTTCTAGTAACGATAATACGGAGTTGCATGCAGGAAGTTCGCTTTCGCGAATGCTTGTCCCACATCCAGCTCTAGGGCCTCCTACTTCTGTTACTTTAACATATAAAGCATACAGTGGTTGGCTTAGTAAAGGTCTTCCGCACTGGCCCGTGAGCAAAGTCGCAATTGCTGATAGCTTTGGTAAAAGGTATTTAAGCAATTCATGATTTAATATATTTACCATAAATATATATTTACTACAAATAAATATTCCACAGTTCTTCCGTTTGCAAGACCGGTTTAGTATTAGAATCAGGAATACCCATTACGTTAGCCCTACAGCCTGGAGAATGCGAATCGTCTGCCGAAGATGGCCTGGCTCATGAACTAACATTAGCTTCCTCAACGAAGATAAATGTACGTCAGGAGTCTGTGAATGCAACAAAACTCAATAAAAGAAAAGTAGATGAGAACATTGAAGAATCCTCAGACAAAATATCCCTATTGGACCAACACCAGGCTGAGAATGAGGTCATACGACTGGGAAATCATTTCAAGGTTGAATAGATAAAACTCTTGTACTGCTTTTGAAATTTAATACCAATCCATAAATATATGAATAAAAAATTTAATATAATTCAAAAAGTATAGACGGCAGCGTATAAGCAGACTATTAAAATTATGTTATAAACATTCATCGCGGTTTATATAAAGTTAATGTGATTATGCATAAAGAACTTTCTTAGAATATGATTTGCATTAGTAAATGCACGATATTAAAATTTTTTTTTTACTATTTCAGGTGACAAATAATGATACTTATTCGCTTTTGGAGAACGCAGAGCTTCTCTCACTTCCCTGGCAACCGCTCCTGAATGGTCAAGTGAATTCTTTAGACGGTTCCCTACCTGCAGTAGAACGCAGTCGGGCTATGGGAGGTTCAACAGCACATAGAAAAGAAATTGTAGAGCCACTACTCAAAGCCGTGAGAGGTGGAAAAATCGGTCGCTCGCATGAACCACGAGAACCTGAAATATTTGAACCAATTTTAGGTCCAACATCTAAACCTACAGTGGTTCCATCGCCCATCGAGCATGCACGATCCGTGACAGTTCAACTACTGCCGCAAAGGCTTGCGGAGCTCCTCGAAAGAGCTGAGAGGTATACAAGACTCACACTTCTGCCGCTAATTTCAGCTCATGCTCCAAGATTCTTTGGATTCGGTAACAATGAGAAACAAACGCACGAACCAAAATATTTTCCACCTCTAGGCAAAATAGAACTTGATTTCGATAGAACAACCCCAAAAACTATTAGATTAGCGAAATTTGTGGAGGTTGAAGAGAAGAAACCGGAGATTCAAAATTTAGTTAAAACTGAAGTAGAAGAAGTCAAGAATGTAACAACTACCACCGAAAAGCAACTGCCGATAGTGAATGAAACTCAAGCTAAAGATCGCTCTGATGATTTTGCAGAAAAAGATGATGTTGAGCAGCAAGCTGTTGCGGAATCGAACGGAATATATATAAGCTTACCGACATACAAGCCAGGCTCGGCTTTTCCTTACGAATTCGACAAGAATGATGCGCGAGCTTTGGCTGCCTCATATGGCAGAAGTAGTAAATACATTCCGGTGAATTATCCTAAGGAAACATAAAAGTTTTGTGTGTGATAAAATTTAGCTGTTCACGTTGATCAGCAAAATGTGTGATTGTTCTGTTGTTGTTTGATTTGAAAAATCTACATAATCATTGCTATTGAACTTTATGGATCAGAATGAGGAATGAATAATTGTTTGTATCTGCTTTATGTCCAGGTGATTTTGTAGAGAATGTATCCAGTCATTGTACCGTATTTATATATTTTATAATCTAATTATATTATTCAAGATGATGACAATTATTAATATATTTTATTGTTGAATACATTTTATATTGTTCATAAACATTGTTTAATTTTTTAAAATAAGTTTCGAATGGGGTCGCAAAGCATAACGCAAAATGTCTTTATAGACATTTTAGCTTGGGTAAATATACGAAAAAGTGCTAACTGAATCCACAAAACCAAAACTATTTAACAGTGTATACACTAAATACTTGTTACTATACTAACTGCTAGAAATAGTTCACTATTTTAGGTAACTACTAATTAAACTGTTACTTTAATATGTTTTTCTACAGGATTTCAATTATATAAAAATTGAAATTAAATTAAGCTTATTGAAATTTAGTAATCAGAGAACAAAAATAAAGTGCAATGTATAGCGATGTTGATAAAAGTGAAGAAATATTGCAAAATATTTGTATAGTAGGCTATTTTCAGGTTTAAGCAACTTTACTTATGCTTTATAAGTTTTACTTATGATTTTCTATAATTAAGACTAAGGTAAGATGTGTGATAGATACTGTGTTTAGGGTTTTTTGAATGCTTGCAATTAATTGAAGTTAGCATATGTTTTCCTACATTTTCTTTTATATTTCCAATTCGCATTTCTGGTAAACTGTCGATTTAAGAAATATGAATCTGATACTGTGCAAGTCATTAAATAATATTTAACGTTATAACGAACGCTAATATATAATTAATCAAACAATTAGAACACGCTCGTAATTCTCAAGTCGAGGTGCCAGAGACAAATGTAAGTCTAATTAAATAGCAGCACCTTGAAAGTGTAAAAATGATTGAATGTATGTCAAACGTCTTATTACAAGAATTCCTATCAATCTACCCACAACGAGACAACATTGATTCATTAGCATATGTCATAGAACTAAAAACTGTAATGAAACAATTGCTCGAGGCATTCAGATTACTACTCCTAAAATGTACGATACACTTAAAACTTTCAACATGGCTGGCGGTTCTATTTTTGTAGTTAGTCACAATAAAGATGGCCACTTGCATGTTGTGGGTGAAACTGTGAATGTTTAAATTAATTGGAAAAATCGGGAAAGAAATGTGAGATGTCATCAATAAGCGATATTAGTTTATTTCTGTGCAAGAATCAATCAGATTTTGTGTAAGCAGTGATCCCTCAAAGTGCTTGGTATTGAATTTACCGACATCAAAAAATTACCTTTTTGTGTTTTATATAATTTTCAAAAGTAGCAAAGGTGAGTAAAATAGTATTAGAATTTTATATGTGTGTAGAAAATTAGTTAGTGTTTGTTATTTGTAATCTGCGCGGAGTCGCAACATTGCGAGATTGTAAGATCAGTCGGACATTGAAGCGTATTTTTATAGCCTAACTGCGCCTACCAGGAGCCATTCAAGAAATCGTCCTGGTGCAATAATTTATTTTGAAAATTCAATAAAAAAAATGTTGTTTTGTCAAAACATCCATGTTTGTCTAATGAGATATGCGAATTTGTTTTCACATTTGTTATCCGGTGCAGGAAACGGCTAAAATTTCAAAAAATATAAACAAGATTTCCTGTGCATGTACATGCATTCTTGTGATAATCCATTATTGAATATTTCAATTCAAAACATTAGGTGGTTAGTAGATTATTTAGTTGATTTATGCACATTCAGTTATCGGGCGTCGAGCTGAACAGTTGAATTTTTTCATGTATATTCGGATGAAAATAGAATTAAAAGTAATGACTGAAGTTAAATATAAAAACCGGGCGAATGATACGAGAATGTGACTACGCGATCATTACAAGAGTGTCGTATTATATCCGAGTCTCGCCGAAACTAAAATAACAGGACAAGAAACATATAATTATGTTTATGTATTGGTAAACAATTGTTTGACTTTAATGTTTGTAACGTGCTTTTACTAACAACTTATCAAAGTTATAACAATATAAATATATAGAGTAATTTGTACCGCAATAAACACAAAATAAACAACGCTGCATTAAATAATTGTTTTTCAAATAATTTGATTGCATTCAAATTCTTAGAAGAAATTCAGTGCGTAAGTATTTAACTTTATGCTTATCTTGCGAATACATTTATTATAAAAATGGCGAACTTTTATCATTTGAAGAAATAACATGTGACGAAATTACCTTGTTTACATACATACCAAACTATTGCAATTTGTAGTCATATATATTTAATTGCAAAAATATAAATATGACTGCAAAAATATGAAGATTTCTTAATTAATCCAAGAATTGATTTAGTAATTTTGCACTTTATACAATAATTATAAAACAGTCTGGACAATTTTCACCAAAAACCAAAAAAAATTTTTATATGATTTTTTTTATTTACATGTGAATTACAATCTGTCTTTAAACAGACGTTGAATATAATTAAATTGATAATTTTCTGCGATTTTATTAAAAGCAAACTCAAAGGTTTACCTTTTATTTTTATACTATACATATAATTTTTGTTTTGTTATACGACAAGTGTGGTGATAAAAATAGAGACTTATCTTATAAAAGAAAGCAAAAAATACGTTTTTCCTTCAATTGAAAATTATTAAACATGATGATGAGAAAAATGATTACATAATATATTTTTCCTGTATTCGGATTCCTACTCTTATTTTAGAATATTTGTTGCGGTTATTCACTCCTCTATTTACATTAATGAATGGTTACCATAACTCAAATAAATTAGCAAAGATCAAAATAAAAATATACGAGTTTATGGAGTTATAAATTTACAACTCAAATTTTTCTTTCACTTTTAGAAATTTCATGTACTTCTTTCTACTGTTACAACTTACACTGTTGTAAATAATAAAATATACATCGGTTTCGATATAAAAAAAGATTAAAAACCATCTTCGGAAAAAATGTGTAGTGGATATAACGTATAAACATGTAGTTATATATACACAGTTATATATATACAGATAGATAAATAATGGGTAGATAATTAAAAATTAGCGTATTCATTTGAATGCCGTTGCGAAGATGGTCATATTCTCTGTCACTAATAGAGACAACTGAGATCTCAAGCAAATTGCAAATTTCTATAGTTATTTCTGTAGTCATAACTATATTTAAAAAATATTGTACCAATATATGGTAAAATTGAGTATTAAAGATAAAACATGAATAGGAATTTGGTAAGGGGACATTCATTAATCACGTGAGCATTAAAAGATTTTTGGACCCCTCTTGGTGATACTTAATGATATTCAAAATTTGCCCCCAACCACCATGAAACATCATGTATATATTTAGTACCTAGAAAAAAATCGTGATTTTTTTATATTTTGTGAAAAATTTTGATTTTTTTTAATTGAGGAAAAAAATAATTACACGTGATACCTTGTTGCTAGACCCTTTCGCCCCCACGTGATATTTCGCGATTTTTTGTCAACCCCCCGTTCCTCCTCTTCCTTTAAGGCTCACGTGATTAATGGACGCTCTCTAATACTGTTTTCTTAAATAGATGCAACTATATAAAAAGACACAATAAATATAAATAAAATTAATTAGCATCAATTTCCAAAATATAATTAGTATCCGACGTAAATCTATTTTTGTATAAGATTATAATTTAATTGTGTCTAATTAATCTCCCGATTCTGATGTGAGTACGAGTTTTGAATTCGGTTTCATTAAGACTTGTTTTTGGCACCTATGACCTTTCCGTTGCGTTTCACGTAGCTCTAATTGGTAGTTGAACATTTGTGCTCTTCTGAATTTTCCATTGAAACCTTCCGTACTTCTGCATGATTTTGCTTGATCAGACCAATGATTTGGTCTCTGCAAAAATGCAAACTTGAATTAATTTTTATAATTAAACCGCTTTTCATCGGCCTCTTATATTTTACCGCAATCAGTTTGGGCATGAAATCTACCTTTATGCCAAGTTTCATCAAAATCCGAGACGAGCTATGCGCGGGTTCTCCTTGTAAGTTAAGACAAACTTAACCTTAATTAGACCGCCGTTTAAAAAATAATTCGTAAACAATAAAAAGCTAAATGCATATAGATTTAATTTCCATGTGTTTGATTTGTCGTGGGCACACAATAAGTCGGTCGAGAGGCGCATTGATGTCATTCAGAAACCAGTTCCATGGTGCGAGGTCGATGCACAATATCAGAAATCTCCAGGAACGCCTGAAATAGCACACGACTGTTCCGTCGATCGTTCGGTACGTGCCCGTCTATGCGTATGCTTCTTAATAAAATACGCCGACGACATTTGTTCCCGTATAGCGCACAAGACGGAAGAAACATTCTTCATTTTCTTATACAGAAGTTACAAACCTTTTGTTAATCATACTACTTAATGCGAAAACGACTCATGATGGTCCGTAAAAGTATTATCTGCGGTTCCAATGAAAAATTATTGCTCTTTTTAATAGGCCGATTAATTAGCATTTCCTTCTTAATTAAGGTGACCATATTTTTTGCATGAAATCCAGGACGGGTCATAATGTATGCGAGAGTGGGGGGTGGGGAGGCGGGTGAGCTAAAAATTTATATACACATTTTTCGGTTCAGATTCTCTAGTTGAAATATATTTAAAATATTGGCATTCAAAACATTTTTGAAAATCCGGGACAATCCGGAACAAAACACTTAAAACCGGGACGCAAGGCGAAAAACACAGAAAATCGGGACTGCCCCGGCCAATCCGGGACGTATGGTCATCTTATTCTTAATACGACTTGATATCTTAACCCTTTTCGGCCACCAAAGCCTTTTTACCGTTCCGGTCGTATGTCTGCTCTCATCCACTACGGGAAGTTACTATACGAAACTAATTCCGAGTACTACGATAACCATCTCTAAATTTAATTCGACCGAAAAACGTTAGAAATGTAGAAAATGATCCGCACAAGTATTTTGATATGTTTTTAAATTATTCAAATCCGACGCTCCGTTCTCCCAAAAACTGAATTGTTATTTTTTGCACTTTTTTCCTCTTATCATCGAAACCTACTTTTGTCAAAAACTAATCAGCATCGTCTCCTCATCAATAGGAATCAATTGTTTTTTGATTCAATCAAATCGGTTGATCCGTTCTCTCTGAATCGTCGACAAAATTTTGTATCCGCACAAACATACATACATCCATTGTTTTCTAAGGTATACCAAAATATATAATCAGAAACCTTTGGGACTTAAATATATGCGTAGTTATGAACGTTTCGCTATTGATGCAATTAGATCTCCAAACACTTTTCTTGTTTGTATTTATTTATTTATTGCAACAATCGGATTGCATCTTCATAATATAAATGACATAATCGGCGATACTAACCTCGGCGGCAAAGTACGTATTAATTCGGCAATTCGCGAATGGAAAGGGATAAAACTAGACTTGCACCGAATATTTGGTTACTATTCTAGACTAGGCATAAAAATTGAATATACATGAGGTACGTTAGTAATATAACAACTGCGAATAGTAATTACATTAATACGAACATGTTGAAAACGCGCTGAAAACCTGCCGAATATTCGTTATTCGGTCTCTGGAGCATGACGAGTATTCGGCATTCGGCCTTTTGCCGAATATACAATTCGTTGCAAGTCTAGTAAAAACGTTAAAACTTTAGGAAGAAACAAAATATGTATATAGAAACTTTTAAATAAACTACAAAGTTAGACAAAATAATAAATAACGTGTATGCAAATTTTACGAAGCAGTACGAAATAAACCATTTTTGCGACAAATTATTTATTATTATTAATTATTCGGTCTCTGGAGCATGACGAATATTCGGCATTCGGCCTTTTGCCGAATATACTATTCGTTGCAAGTCTAGTAAAAACGTTAAAACTTTAGGAAGAAACAAAATATGTATATAGAAACTTTTAAATAAACTACAAAATTAGACAAAATAATAAATAACGTGTATGCAAATTTTACGAAGCAGTACGAAATAAACCATTTCTGCGACAAATTGCAGGGTAATTTTCTTTTCAGTCTCCTTATTTCTAGTCCGATTAAATTAATTTCATTGCTGAATTATCATTTTTCAGATATTACTAACAGCAATCAAAACATAATAGCCATATAAGCTTGTTGTGATGACTTATTAATGTCGTGACTTTATAGATGGCAACCCAACGGTTGGTTTATCTCTCTTTGATGAAATTATTATAAGAATAACTCCATTATTGATATATCTATATTTTGAAGTTAAAACCGATGTCACTACTACTTGACACCAGGTTATCCG